GACAGCGCTGGCTGTCGTGCGTCGGGATCGAGGGGAGCGGCGTTTTCCCTGCGTGCCCTTTGTTTGTGGTGCTCTGGCTGTTGGAAGCGCTGAATGTCCGCAGCGGCTGCCAGTGAACGAGCTGTCAGAACCTAGGGAAAGGAAATTTTCTAGTGTGGTGGGCGCTTCGAAGCGGAGCAGGCGCCCTACCTGGTAGTTCGATGAAAAGACAGTTAAAATGAGGTCAGTGCAAAACGCTGCAACTTCTGTTATAAAATGATACCTGTAAAAGTTCGCAGATCCGTCCCAGAGCACAAAAGGACCTGCACGACTTCAGGTATTAGAGCGGCCCCGTAGATCTCAAAGTGACAGAGCATTGAGCTTGTTGTGGTGTGGAGAAGTTTTACTGTAAATTTGGTCAGAACAGGCTCTCTACTCAGACTTTCCCTCTCCTGCTCCCTCTCCCGCTCCTCCCCTCATCTGGAGTCATCACTCTGTATTTCTACTGGCTTAATGTTCTGGAACTCACCTGTTTCTTCTCAGCTCACTGCACAGTGTATTTCAAACTGACTAGTGTAGGCTTCCATGATAGACCGGAATTGGAAAGACCTCATAAACCCTGAAGTACCTTGGCAGTCTCGGAGGCTGAGATATGGCAGCTCACCTGTGCGTGATAAAACAGTATGTTGGCTGCAGAGTGTGATTCCATTTCCCAAAAAGCAACGAGATGATGTCAGGTAGTGATGGAGTAAAAATACATGAAAGGTTGGTCATGGATTCAGCATGTTACCGTTACTTTCTGGGACGCCTTCCCAGTCTTAGATTCCTGTCGCTGCCTTTTACAGTAACATCTAGGCAACCACCACAGATTATGGAAACTGCTTTATTTACAGTAGTACATAAATTACTAGTAGAAAAATGTGTGAACATGCATCACAACATGTGCTTTCTTCATTCATATTGAAAGTTTTAGATCAGCTCTCGGGTTTTGTGGAAATGATGCTACAAAACACTGTGTACAGTATGTTTCATGTGGAGCAAAGTTTTTATAGCTGCTGCTGTTAGATCTATAATGAAATGGTGGTTTGCTGTATAGAACTTGTGCAGTTACAAGGATCAGGAAAACAAGAATGTAAAAGACAGTCAAGGCTTTGATGGAAAGTAACAAAAGCAGTCTTTAAAACTCTATGGAAAGTTACTGAAAAGGAGGTGTTCTGCACCCAAATAAAAAATGTTTCTCCTTCGTTTGGATACTTTGCGTTCACAGTGGCACCAGCTCCATGAGAGTTAGTGGTCTGTCCATGCGAAATGTGTAGCTGGATATTTATTACCAGAAATTCTGCGTACGTCTTACACTGCTGCTGTTGTACGCATTGTAGTAGTTAGACCAGAATCAGCAGTTTTGCTTCTGAGACACTATTTTAATAGCTGTATCATTCTATAATAATTGTGGTCTTATTTAAAGGCATAATCTTTTGCCCAGTTTATTATGGCAATTAAATTATAGTGAAGTTTAGCGCATAAAGAAAATAATTAAATCCTGATCTTCCAGCTTCAAATTGTCTTGTGATTAAAGGGCACATAACTGGTAATTATACATATCTTTATTCTTGTTCATACCATCAACGTATGCATAATCCTATGTTTCCTTTCTAAAGGTATTTCTTCCTCAGTTTCCCTAACTCTGTAATAGGAACTTCTCATAATATTGTGCATATTTCTGCCCACTGGCCTTTGTGCAGTTCTTTCACTATACCTGCTTGTAATTCCTGTCTGTTCTCCTTACGTAACCATGGAAGAGCACAGATATTTAAAGGAAATCCTATCAAAGAAATGTTGATGACAACTATGTACTCCTTTGCATGGGTATGAAATGTAAGGCCTTGGGGAGAAGCACATTTTTGCCAGAGTATGTGTGTTGGAGGAAAAACATGCTTCATCCTGGAGGTTATTCTGTGTTTCTGATTTTCCATGCAAAGCTCTGAGTTAAGATTATTTACTTTTGATTTCCACTTTAAAGATTTCTCCATAACAGGCATGGTTATTAAATTAATAACCCTTTCTGATTTTGATCTTTACAGCTATGTTTTAATTACCACAATGATTAGATGGCTGAGAGATGATGTTGCATGATATTTGACTGAATTAATCATGCTTATAAAGAGTCTCCCAGAAACTTTAATGGCTTCAATGATTTATGGACCAGTTCCTGAGCAATGTGGAAAAAGCAAGTTCCGGTGCTGCAATGACCTCAGTAATTTCTGCAGTGTCCTTTTACTTTGCCATATATCAGTGTATCTGCAGCAATGTTTAGATTACCGTTTTCTAGCCCAGAACATGCAATGATGTTTCAGTAACCTTATTTTTATGTCTTTACAGTCTCCAAGGACATTATCACCTACCCCTTCTGCAGAAGTAAGTTTGGTGGAACCTTTGGGGGCAATATCTTACTGTGATTGGAAGTACTCACTTCAGCAGATGCAGGTGTTGGTTTTGCTACCAGTCTGATCCATCTCTGTTTGCCACATAGACATGTTTCCTGAATATTGAAACTTAACAAAAATTAACTCTTAAAGAGAAAACGTGTACGTTTTTATTGACAGATTGTACAAAAAATGAAGGTACCGCTCCTACTCATACCTTGTCTATAAAGCTGAGTCATTTGTCCAGCAGAGGTCACTTCTTGCGCCTTCATCCCTCTTGTGGCACAGGCAGACTCGGATCTCAGGAGCTGAATGATTTACATGAGCTAAAGTGCTGCTCTAACCATCTAAGTAATAAGCCATGTTTGCTCTCTTTTTGTCCTGTTTCGGTTTGCTTCGTGGGGTTTGGGGGGGGGGGCCGGAGGTAGATTTATTCATTTGGGGTTTTTTGCGTGGGTTTGGTTTTTTTTTATTGGCTTTTTTCCCCAGGAAACCCAAGTAAATTGAATTTTGCTGTTCAAGAAGGTGTCATGTTTTCAGATACAAGGGGAATCTAATTTGGATACTGAGTACCTTTTGATGCAGCTAGTCGAGACACATGGTAAATTAAGCCACAGAGAGCTCTGTGCTGTAGCTATTCAATTCTAGCTGGTCTCCAAGTTAGCTTGCTGAAGGCTCACTCGTGTGTCTTGTGCGGTGTGCTGCAGGACAGACGGACTCTGAATGCAGCTTCCCTTATGGAGTCACAGGAACGTGGGCAAATCTCGGATTATATAGAACTTAATAGAAATTACAAGTGGAGTTGGAGCCTTCCAAGACTGAACTCTAACCCAGACTATAAAAATGGATTTGAGTCTTTGGAACAGATCATCAGAGAACGGTCATAATGAAATAGGGTGAAAGCTTAACGGATATCGTTATTCCAGTAGCTTCTGTTGATGCCTTCAGATCCATCAAAGTTCAGTGCTGCTAAAAATGGGTAATGTGCATGTGCATTTATTAGTGAATGCTTCTATTCCGCAGGGTTACCAAGATGTTCGGGATCGCATGATTCACAGGTCTACTAGTCAGGGCTCCATTAACTCTCCAGTGTACAGTCGTCACAGCTACACGCCCACCATGTCACGTTCCCCTCAGCATTTTCACAGACCTGGTAAGGGCAACTGCATTAGAAGTACATGTAAAACTGTTGTTTCTTTATTATGTCACTTAGTGGTGCAGTGAAGTATTTGTTTCTCTTAGCACTGAGAATTTAGGATTGAAAAGCTGTTGCAGATTTTAGTATCTCCTTTTCTACCTGCATATTGTTCTTGATTGATGCAGTCTTTTGCACCAGGGTGATGAGTGTTTCTTACATTGTAAATATGGATCTTCAGTTTTTCTTTCTCATCAATTCTTTTAAAACCTTTGTATGTTTCTCAAAGAGAGCAAAAATTTGCAGCAGTAAGTCACAAACTGCATTCTGGAATTTGGGAAAAGTATCACATATTGGAAACAAAAGTTATGGCTTGACTGTGTGGAAGTCAGTAATGTAGGATTTCTACCTCCTAAAAAAGCAATTAAAGCTTGGTGCAGTCATAGAATCTCTCTTCTAAATTGCTAGTCATTTTTTAAAACATAGACTACTGGTTCACAGGGTAGATTTCTTAATTAAAGACATAGGCAATTGCCTGGGAATATTTAAAACCCCACAAACTTCATTTACTGGTTTAGCAGCGATGTACAGGTTCTATGTACAGTATAGAAAATGTACAGGTGATTCAGGTTTCCAGCACATTCAAGATTACTGGTTATGTATATAAAAGCAACATATGAAAATGAACTGTTCATCCACACCCAAATTGCTTAAAAATGTATCTCTAAATGCTATTAATTGAAGACTTTTCAAGACTGATTTTATTGTTTATGGTAATGAATTAAATCTTTGTGATCTGTTTTTAAATTAAGTGATACAATCGTGCAGTTTTATCTTCCTTGGTGATTACAGCTGAACAGTTGGCATGCCAAAAGCCCATATATAATAGGAGCTGCATTTTTAAAATTAAAGATTTATAATAGAGCCACCACTGTGGAACTTGAATGCTGTAGCCATTTCCTAGTGGGGGTGGGCTGAAAGCAGCTAATTGTGTCTGTCAGTGAATGCCTTGTTTAAAGGACCCAAGGGAGGTGGGACAGAAGCAAATTGTGTCTGATACATAGTGCTGACAACATGACTGTGTTTTAAGATGCTACAACTGAAACCGAAAGAGACTTAAAAGCGTGAAAAAGCTGCAAACTTCTGTCTCTTGATTCTGGCAATTCTGAAGGGATTTTTCAATTTATATCTGTTGTATCAGGGATATGAACAAATCCAGGCCCTGCTCCAGACTTTACTGTGATTGAGTTTTACTGTCTGTGTTCAGTCAAGGACCTTCCAGAAGCAGTCTGTGTTTATGTGACTCTTGTGATGGGCGGATGGGTTCAAGCCAGAATTTGGATCCAAATGTAAAATCTTTAAAAGTTCACAGCCTGAGGGATTTTTCTGAAAAGATATTTGTTCAAACTTATCTCTGTTCAGATGATCTCATCTTTGGCTCACCTGTTTCTGTTTCTCATATGGCACAGAAGTAATTCTGTAGAATTCATCATTTTGATCTTTGCTACCCTGCTTTGGGGTAATTGTGAATGCTACTTTATCATTTTCCTACAGTAATTATTCATGTTGAATAATAGCACATGTATATTTACATTTTTCTCCTAATGGCACTTCTTATCATCATGTTCTTTGCAAGAATAATTTCTCTTTGAATAAACCCCATGGCCCCAGATAACTTCTCTTTGGCTCCCAGCTGGCCCTTGAGAGAGAAGTGAACCACTGTGTTGACGTTGTCAGCATAAGGTTCTTCAAAATTTGAGTGCTACGAGTTTTGAAAAAAGTTTGCAGCCTTTTCCTCCTGCAGTGCCCTAGCTGATGTTGGCAGCAGTTTTGGAATGTCTCAAAACAATAGAAAACAGCTTGCATGCCTCTTGACTGACATTTTTTGGTCAGGCACTTTTCAAAACAGCTGCTTTCTTAACTAATTGAGCGTCAATGTTTGTGATGTTTGCATGCTGGTAGCAGGCTACTTTTTGGTATAAAGGCATAGATCACAATCTCATTAAGCCAGTAAATTTTATGCTAAATTAGTGATGCAGTTCAAATATGAGCCTCTCTTCTAATACTCCTGTAATTTTGTCTAACATTTATGAACCCTTCGGTACGTCTTTAACCTTTTTTTTTTTCTCCTTCCTTCTTTTCAGAATCCTAATTGTTCAATGCCTTTTTTTTTCTTCCTTTGAAGCCTCCTTCCCTGCCTTTCTCTTATTGTTTTTCTTTGTTTTCATTTTGTTCTGCCCCCCGATTCCCTGCTGCCGCAGAGCTGCTCTCTACTGGTGTGCAGCGGTTGTCATACCTGCGCACTAGCAGTCTCAGCTCCACTCACCATGACTCCCGCCCCAACTCCCCCTTCCGACACCACTTCATCCCCCATGTCAAAGGTAAGGAGCCAGGCCTCCCCAGGGAGCCCCCTCCAGGCTGGAGCTTTATTAGCCTTTTGTCAAAGCTAATAAGGTGTATCTCCGTAAGGTCGTCATTGGCTGTAGAGCTGAGCATGCCTCAAAATGCGCCGTTACACTTAAAACTACGTTAGAATAGACATAATGTCCTTTTTCAGAGGAAATATGTCATTTCTAAGGGCCCTAGTTGAAGAGTCATCAAGCAATTACCTATTAGAAATATACAGGAAAGCATTACTGTTTACTATTTAGAACCTGTATGTGTCTAATTTAGCTTCTTTCTAAAGCAGTACATAACAATCACTACAGCACTTAGCATATCAAATTTACTTATTATTTCCACATTCTAAAATATGCATTTAAAAAAATGACTGCAGCTCTTGCCTGAATGAGAGCAAGGTGATCGAAAGTATGGAGAAGAAAAAAAAAAAGATTATGTAAAGATCAATGGCAACAGTTAATCATTGTTAATCATATTGGCAATAATTAGTACCCAACAAAGTAAAATTAAAATCTCTAGGCCTCTCCTCAACTAGTGAGAACCTGCAGGCTCTGCTGAAGACAGTAGAGTTGCAGGGATTTACACTACCTGAGGATCTGGTCCTTTCTCTTTTTTTCAATGTGTTCTTTTCCATGGTTTGATTTGGGGGAGGGTTGTTCTTCCATTGTATCCCTTCAAGGACCTCATTCAGTTCAATAACCTCTTCGTTTTGTTTCTTGCTTTCTGTGGATGTGGTTTTACTTTTATTTCTATTGGAGCACTCTGGCTGTGCCATCTCCTCTGTTGGGGGAGAAGGTAATCGCTTGTATCACCTACAAGACCTCAAAACGAGGCAGCTGAGTAAGTTGAACATAGATTCTAGTCTGGCACCACTGATTAATGTAGAGAATCATAAACTAATCTAAAACAATTGCAAGGAAGTTGTTGCCATGAACTTTCAATAAATGCTAATAGATCTCAACATTATAGCTCCTCAAGCATTCAGATCACCATTACTACCTTTACTCTTGCCATTTCTTAGATGATTTCTGTTAATACGTGCTTTCAACTTCCTTATTATGTCACTATTAAAAAAAAAATCGCACTTCAAACTTAAAAGATTGGGACCCTTAAAAATAGATACACTGCTCATTTCAGCATGCGGTTAATTCATGATCCTTGCAATTTCAACATTTCTTTGCTGTAAATCCAAATTAATGCTCACACTCTTTCAAGTGGCATTTTCATTCTTTTTCTGTTGAGAAAATAGCTTCTTCAACAGATAAATCAGAAGAACTGTTGGAAATCCGTGCCTATTGTTTTCAGATTTCAAAGAATTACGTGGCGTGTAGATTAGGTATGTATCTCAGTTATCGGTACAAAAGGCCAAGTGGGATTACAAGCGCTGTAGACAAAGGGGTGGGTATGGTTCTTATCGGCTGTGGCACATAAGATATTGTAAGGATACATGTTTTTCTGAAAATTTTACATAAAGGTCTTAAGGCTGGACAGGATTTATGTGTTGTAACTCCACAAAGCTCCTGAAAGCTCAGGCTCATATCGCTGTGACACTGTACAGAATCTGAGGATGTGGTACATTTGAGAAGGGGCACGTAGCAGGTACCCACTCTTGTAATTCACGTGGCTGAATTGAAAGAGTAATCTTTCAGTAGTTGATTGAGAGAAAGAAGCACCTTCTTAAGGTGACCTAAGTTTTGTGCCTAGTTTAATGTGGTGGGACTATTTGCATGGTTTTCATTTTTTTTTGTTTTTTTTTTTTTTCTCCCTGTGGAGAAAGGCAACTACTCATAAAGACCAAAAATACACTTTTGTGTTTCGATTCCACACTGCAAGCTGCGATCACTCAGAGCATTGAGCCAAACTCAGACATCTCTAAAATGTACACAGATAAAGTAATTTGGGGTATTTTTAGTAATGATCTGGGAGAAAACATGAAATAGTATTGCAGAGTTCCCTGATGATATGCAGACTGGGAGAGAAGTAGTCAATAAAGAAAATGAGTGATGGTTTTCTCAGTGAACTGTGGTAGCCAAACAGAAGCCGTGCTTCTGAGTGATGTTATCCATTTATACATGCTGGGAAGAGCAGTGACTCTGCAGAGGATTTGACCGTTCCAGTGGATGTTACGATGGGTGGGTAAGACAGCAGAAAAAGATGCTGCAGCTCAAAGAGCTAAGTGGAGACGTTAGGTACTTAGCATAAGATCTACAGGGAATTGCATTGGTAGGTCCACGGTCCCAGCAGGATGGGTGACATAAGAAACACTGCAGAAGCTTCAGAGAAGGGCCATCAAATAGTTCCAGATTGCATAGTGAAAAAGTAGTATGGCTGTTAATGTGTTAACACTATCAAATGGAAGGATTTGGTAGTGATTTGTTCAGTGTCTACGTACCTGTGTGGTAACAGAGGGTTCTCCCGTATGGCAGGCAAAGATACAATAAGATCCTATGTTACACTTAAATTAGATAAAAATCATCATTATTTCTCTGACTTGTTTAAGGCAAAGATAAGTAGCTGTTGAAACAGCTTAGGAAAAGGTTTTGTCTTTCCCTTACTACAAGATGTTGAAAGGTACAAAAGGTCAAAGGGCCTGAAGACCTTTGTAATTTTTCCAGCGT